TCGGTCTTTCTGGAGCCAGAGACGCCATCGTCAGACACATGGTTTGTAGCATTATTTTTAAGTTAATTGAGCTTCCAGTGCTATGCTAATTTTTAAACAGAGAGTTCGTCCAGGAAAGGTGTCAGGGTACTCAAAGACTCCCATGATAGTAACTTACGGCGCGAATTTCGAAAATGATACTAATAAAACGCTCCTAGGCAAACTGTCGACGGTATGGGTCTTGGAGGATGTACCCACACAATCATGGATCGTTGCTCTATGGGTAATCGATATGATCTTTACCATATATTCTTGCACGGAAAGTGCTAATCTGCTTTAGGCTGGGGTATCGATGAGTCCCATTCGTCTAGAAATGCCGGAAATATCACATTCATGCGCAATATGATCTCAGAACCATTGAATGTCGCAGGGTGAGTGCTCTGCTCTCATATTACTATTCGAATATATCGCTAACATCAATACTAGGCATCAAAATTATCCACCAGTAAGTATACTACCAGTATATGAATATTTCGAAATCGATGGCTGATTCCGATCCTAGGGAACCGCTCACGGCTACGCAGCCTCCATCGGAGGTGATATCTCGTCTTACTATAGGAATCTCATCGCCCACGCAGAAGGCAGATCATGGTACGAGATACACGAAAAATAGCCCTTCTAGAATCGAGCTCACAAGATTGCAGGTCTATGGCTGGCGGCGCAGCGAATGATGGCAGTTTCGCAGGAAGACTGGACATTCGCAACAATGTAGTCTACAACTTTGGAGGCCGAGTTACAGATGGCGGGGCGCATCAATGCAACTTTGTTGGAAATATGTACAAGCGTGGAGCCGCATCAGGTCCCAATTATGACCTCATAGCTCAAGTACGTCTCTTGGTATTGCCGCAATCTTTACTATTGCTAACACAATATAAATTCTAGTACGAGGATGGATTACCCGGAACTCAAACTTACTACTGCGCATCGAATTCTATGCCAGGCCTTTTTAGCGATTCCTCTGTTCAAGTCGTATCGTCGGCACCAGGTGCTTGCACATCATCTGTATCTATCTCTCCAGCCCCGACATACCAAAAGTTCTACACTTCAGCGTAAGTATATTGGTACTATCGTTTTTCTCTTTCAAATAAGGTACTGATTTTTCTGGCTAGTTTCTTCCCATCATATATTACGGAAACTTTATCCTCAACTGAGGCATATAAGAGAGTCCTCTCAGATTCCGGTGCACAATCACCAGTTCTTGATGACCATGACAAGCGCATCATCAAAGAAACTAAAACCGGGACTTATACTTATAAAGGCAGCGTCAGCGGCAAGCCAGGGCTCATCGACAATGAGGCGGACTGTGGTGGTCTAGAAAGCTTCCCCACCACTACGCGAGCTAGTGACTGGGATAAGAACGGAGATGGTATTGCTGATTGGTGGGATGGTAGCACTATGGGAACCGGTTATACCGTTCTGGACAGCTATCTCAACTGGATGGCGGACCCACATCTTTTCGTCACTCAGAGTTCCACCACCACTATTGATCTTAATCAATACGCTCAGGGATTTGTTGCTCCTATTACCTTTACCGTGTCAGTTACTAAGGGGACTGTCACACTCTCCGGAACCAACGCTTCATATAAGGCTCCTTCCACCCAGAGCATTGATACTCTGACAATTGGCATCAAAGACGCTGAAGGCTCCACCTGGTCGAGAAAGGTCGGAATCGCTATCTTCACCTCTGGAAGTATCACGACTGGCGTAACTACTGGTACTACTTTGAAGACCACAACCACAGCCGCAGCCACGACCACGGCTGTCACAACTACAGCAGTCACGACAACCAATAGCACCACCACCCCGTCTACCACAAGTAAAACCACCACGGCTGTCACCACAACCAAATCCACAACCACAGCTATTACTACTTCACCGCCAACTGAAACTCAAACCCTCTATGGGCAATGCGGTGGAATAGGCTTTACAGGACCCACGGTTTGCGCGAATACTTATACCTGCTCCACTTTGAACCCATACTACTATCAATGCTTGTGAGCTACATAAGCCTTGCTCGGTGGGGAAAATGTAAATACGATAGTGTGTTCATAGAAATATAGAATTTAAATATTATTCGTCTCTATTTTCTGGAGAGTTGTCGTAAACCAGATAAAGGCAGTAAAAATTGACATTACAGGATGAGATCTCTAATACTTATTTAAAAATTCTTCCCATACCTCACAGCCGATTTAGATTCGTCACGAGAAAGACGTCAAGAATGAATTCCGCCGTATAAAGGAATGTTAACATTATGTCCTGCCTATATTTGGAGGTCTTGGCTCCTGTGTCATCATGTTTCCTATTCACTTCTCGACTTTACCATCTAAATGATTACCACAAGTTGTAAGTAGACCCATTTACGATTAGAACAGGCTCGATCTCAACTTGGTGGTACTCCTCGGCCAAGCAGCTAGTCAGTACCACATGGTCATGGCTGTGTTCGATGGATTAAAGGGTCCGTGCTTTCTCGGAGATTTTATATCACACTGGTACTAACAAAATATGTAAACTATTAACGATCACGCACTGAAAGCTTATTTCTTGAAACGATACAAGCCGGAATGTCTTAGGTCCGATAATGCAACTGGTGTGATTCTGATCATGCCCAGCAAGCCTCATTACGAATACACGTTGAAAGAAGTAATGCTGCCAATGCCCAGTGCTAACAACCGAGACCCGAACTCGCATATTTTAGCGATTTTAAAGTACCCAGATTACCAAAGTTATGCCAATCAAGCGTGAGCCTTCCACTTTTGTCCTTTCATGCCCCTCATAGCCACCGCAGGCCGCACAGAATGCAAGGTATCGTGTCAAGCTAGTGTCATGGAGGCCAGCTTGATCCGTTGGGCCTATAATGGCTCTTATATAAAAAGAAGAAACAAACATTATAAGTATCTCTCCGAGCACGAAACAAATCATGCTCTGACATCAGGCAGCAAAATACCGGCAAAAAAGCAACAACAGAAACGTGGGAGGATACATTAGAGAAACAAAACCTCGAAAATTATAGTATCATGCTCACAGCAGCTATCACATTTTACGATGAGAGCCCTGTATTTAAAACAGCCGATCAGCTGTTGGACGTGGATTCCAGAACATCGTCAGGCACATCCACACCAACAGAAGAAATGCCCATTTTACGAACGAGATCGATATTTGGACTGCCTCTCCGCAGCAAATCAGTCAAAGGCGTAAATTCAGTTGCCCAAGAAAGCGACAGTAGCTTGAAACGGTCACCTTCTTGTCCGAATCCCCGTAACCGATCACGCGGGGCATCTCCGGCACGTTTAGAGCCAGAGTCCATAAGAGCTAAATCGAAACCCCGGTCGAGCTCCAGCATTCGAGCATTATTTTCATCAAGAAGAAGGCAAGTAGGCTGCGAAATAATAAACCTTCCGGTGGAGATAATAGCACAGATTCTGAGCTACTCGGAAATTCAAAAAGCAGACCAACTCAACTTGGCACAGACATGCTCGCGGCTTCATCGAATCGTCCTGGAGACGATATACAGAAATTTCGAGCTCAAAATATCCTTTCGCCGACAACCTAAATTTACGCTTCTCAATTACGACCGCGGTGGAGGCCGAAGCTTGAATGTTTTTATAAACCACAAGCATATGATAAGGTCGCTACGAGTAATATTCGAAGATGTTACAGACGAGATTGCCGGACACTCGAGGACAATGTTTAGAAACAACGAATACACCTCTACAGAGTTGGAGATTGATACTTTCCTGTGGCTCCTTACCGAAACTCCAGAGATTCAAGATTTGAGCATAATAGCGCCCAAAGATTGTCCGTTCGACTTTAGCGTCATCTTGAACGCCGTCCAAACCTCGTTATACCAAATACCGCGACTCGAGACGCTACGAATTCAGTGCAGATTATGTTTCTTCGATTTTACCGCATTCATTAGAAGCCTCAAACAACAAGATGAGAGTTCTTGTGCCAAATTGACCCTACTCGGCATCTCTTTGTACGGTCTTCCGGAAGATGAAGTTGAGAGCGAAAAGGTCTTCGAAGCACTTTATCTTGTAATGGGTGGTGCGAAGGAATCGATTAAAACCATTGAACTAACCGCATCGACTAGCCAATCAGTCAGCATCAACGGAAAATGCTGTGGAGCGCAGGGAAAATTGGACACTCAGATCCCCATAATCACACTCAACGGCGAGATCATGCCGGCTCTGGTCGAGCTCCCCAATGTCGAGCACGTCGAACTTGGATTGTATGGTCCATCTAAAAACCTGGAGCGGCGGCTGAGAATACACCATCGAAGGGTGCGAAAGCTAGTAGTCCGTTGCTGGATGGGGTTGGAGCATTTTCACATCAAGGTAATTAAGCGGTCTACACTGGTTTTTAACTCAAAATCGGCGAACTGACACGGGGCTTAGAGATACTTTAACATTGGTCGCTTCCGAAACACCAAGGAACTAGATCTTTATTACGATTCCAACGATCGATACGAGAAAAGGTTGGCCCTATACCTTCAGGACATGACAACCCTACTGCCCCACGTCACAAAAGCGAAGCTCGTCGAGACCTGGCGCGAACCCTCAACCTACCATGGCGTTCGAACCACCATACCAAAGTCCGCTACCGCCTTCTATATAGCCCGTCCGTCGACACGGCCAGGTCCTCGCTTGCCAAGTTTGCAAAAGGTCCGATGCAAAGAGGACGTTGAAGGAGGAAAGTAGACGCGACACCAGTCATCCGCTTTATCAAAACACCGTAGCACCCGTCCGCCTCGTTCCCTATCCTTTCAGTCCTCTTCCCGACGACTGAATACGAGACCCAGACCTTCCATTTTCCAAAAAGAACTATTCGTCTCTCAACACATTTATAAATTTACCCTAGCAACTTCAATCTCTCCATGCCGTTTCTGGAGAACCTTAATTTTAACGAGCTGGGATGTAAAAATCTTCAAAAAGCTCTCTAGAAAGTGCAAAAAAAGAAGATATCGTCGTCGATAGGATTCGAACTTAAATTTTCTATGTTAGGTTAACTTCTTTGAGAAGTGAGGAAGTTGAGTAGCTTACCCTATGCCCCCGAAAGGAATTGATTTCTAGTCAATCGCCTTAACCACTCGGCCACAACGACCTAGTTTGTTGAAGTCGGGCTGAGATTTTGATAACATGAGGCGGAATGGTTTGATTGTGCGAAAGAAATAAAATAACACACAGCCAACGCGGGATAGAAAGGTTATAATGTTAGGTATACCTAAAGGTGAATGTATGAACAACCACAAAATCGCCTTTAGGTTCACCGCTCCCATAAAATCCTACCAAGCCTAGGTGGTTAGCAGATATCATTTATGGGCATTGATATCTGAACTCCACAGCCAAACTTTGAAGCACACCTGGTGCTGTTAAAATAATGTATCTAATGTAACAGAACGCTGTTTGTCCATCCAGATTTGTTGTGCGTGATTTTGTCATGGAAGAGTTGCAATCGCCGACTTTATAATAAGCTTACGCGCTTGCAGTGGTCTCGAGGCTGCTAGATTCGGGAATTAACATGTGAGAGCGTCGCCTGTGTATCCTCTTCAATACAAAGCACTACCTCGACGGCCTACTCTCGGGAACCCGCGTTAAAGTATTCATAAGGCCCCCGATTCATACGATATATCGAGAACTCAATTATACTTTTCCTATATGCGTGAATTTACAACATGACAACGCACATTTTGAGACTGCCTGACGAGCTGATGGATGAGATTCTCTCGGGCCTCTCGGATAATCTAAAAGACTTGGCTAGTCTCGCAATTACATGTTCAACTTTTCATCGCCTTGCCATTCCTTATATATACCAAAAACTCAAATACGGGGCTCGTTCAACCGATGGTCAACTCTCCTCATTTAGGAAGTATGGTAATCACACTCGCCATATCTTATGTTCTATCACGAGAGAGAAAGTTAAAAGCACCAGTACGTAATTCAGCTTAAAGATGTTCATACTTTCCTATCGTATGTAAAAAAGTCCAGTATTCCCTAATTGATTCATGTTAGGTGATATAATCAATCTACCACGGTGGACACAAGTGCTTGGTCTGATGTTATCTTCTTTTCCAAATTTACGGATCCTTGCTTTGCGAGACCTGATGAACCTAGATGAAAACAGCTTTATTCACTTCTTGAGAGAGTTGGTCACCACAAATCTCACGCTGAAAAGATTTGACTGCTCTCGCTTTAGGCTCGGGGATTCAGCGCCAATGGACGAGAATTTAGAAAAACTTCTAGAACGACCGATGAATGATGGCGGTTACGCACAGCTTGAGGAGCTCAATCTCGTTTATTTCGGCAGCATCGATCGCCATCGATCACACAAGGGCGATATGGCGGAACGAGTATTTTATCTCAGGCGGGCGCTCGGTAGGTCTGTCGAGTCGGTCAAATCAGCGACCATCAGGATCACCTGTTCCATCGCTCGACCCACACCGAAGTTTGTATCAGGATATTTCCCTATAGGAGACAAAATACCGTTCAGAAAATTGAAAACTCTACATATTACCATCGACTGCTTCCCTATATGGGATATACCCTTCATATCTGCCAGCTTCCATACAGTTGAAGAAGTTTGGCTCGGGTTGCCTTGTCCAAATCTTCGTGAAGAGGAGAATTTTGAGCAAGTAAGTAGCAGTTTCGCTTATTTTTTTCCTACCGCGCTCTCACATTTCATTCTTCTAGGTTGCCAAAAATATCAATAAGCATTTTCCTCTTCTTCGGATTCTCAAAATTTTCGCAAGAGATAAAATTGGTAGAGAGTGCACGATGCAGATATCGGATCTCGAAAAAATTGCAAATACCATTGTATCACTAGAAAAGATTGAGTGGGTCATGAGAGTATATCCTTTACAAGAGGACAAACCACCGTCCTTAAAGAAAGAGTTTATTTGTAACAGAACCGCTTCTTCCTTAGTCAAGTTTGAAGATCCAGAAATTTGGACGCCATCCGTGGATGAAATCAAAAGTAGACTCGCGGATGTCTGAAGAGAATATTCGATATTTTTATTTGGGTTGGATTATTGTTAATATTCACCAGGCTAGTACAGTCGGAAAATGCACCAAGTTTTACTTAAAAATAAACTATACAAGTTTCGAGATTTTTGCAACATAGATGCAAATGCGCTGCTGTGTCATTCCCATGTATCCTAAATTTCACAGCCTTGTGTGAACCTTGGCGCCATAGAATCAAACCCCGCCATCCACCCCATCGATATTGCGATAGCATTTACAATAACTGCAGGTTTCAATATTTGGATGCGCTCAACAGACTCTTTCATACACAAAATCCAGAATGACTGAGTCCAAACATGAATCTGATTCAATCGCTTGGATTCGAGGCTATCCACCCGAAAGCTTTAAGCGCATATTCCGGAAGATTAACCCCAAGGACAAATGCCGTACGTTCTCTGAAAGTGACCTAGGCCAGTTTCTCATGCCAGGTACATACGATGCATTCCTTTCGGATCTTGGGCATGAAAGGTCTTATGAATCGCTCATCCAGAAAAACCCGGATGAAGTTCCAATATTCGTCTTGTATGAAATAGCTCCGGGAAAAAGACTCTCCCTAGATGATGGGACATTGGAAATACGTGAGATATCAGATATCAATGGTACATGTGTACTCAGTAGTCTAGTCGGTACAACTTTCAGTGGGTTTCTTATTTCCCAAATTAAATATCGACCCAACTACCTCTGTCAATAGATTGACCTAACTTAATAATAGAATATTGTGCAATAGCTACCGGTGCAGAGAAGCCTGGGGGTTGGATGAGACTTGGCGGGTTGAGTTGTATGCCGGGTTCTAGCAATAGCGAATACCTCTGGATATATACTTTCGGTGATCACTGCGGAAATAAATTTTTGGCTTTCAATGCGAATTTCAACATCTACAATTCCGTTTTTGGTCTGAAATCTGGGAGGTATCAGTTTTTATATCACAGTAAACCTGAAAATGGAGGACCTCGTCAGCGAATTGCTAGTCGGTCATTTCAGTTTGAGCACTCAGTGCTCCAAAACTCAACATCTTCGTACTGCGCGACTGGTTCAAGAGACAACCCAATCTCTCCTTCGACGACTCCATTCGATATCGGATTGACTATCCCCCAAGATTTTGTTCTGAGGTTAATCGCGGCTCTTTTGGTTTTTTTGCTTTATTTTATATTGATGAGGTTCTTCACAGGTAGACGGGAGGGAACGGGGAAAGAAAATGGCACACCAAATAAATATATGCCTCAGTCCTCATCAAGCGCAATCAAGCAAGATTCAAATGACCAAGAGTTCTCGAGTACAGTAGACGATACTGCTCCAAAAACATCTCTCCAACGCAAAAGAAATGGATCAGGGGAAAGACCTGTATTTAGAAGGCCACACGAAGGCAGAGAAATGTAAAAAGATTTTTGAGTTGAATGATAATGTAAACGTAAAGGAAAGAAGCTCCCTAAGGATTCAGGTTCTTTGTTCCAGCAAAATTATCTATTCCGATACTTTCAAACACTGTACCTGCTTCAAATAATTCATTGAGCGCCGCCGGTAAACCAAGAACATTCCCAATGACCTTTGCGTCGCTGACCTTGAAATGGAGCAAAACAAGGTTGGTGAAGGTTGATGGAAGGGCTACATGTATCATATCGGTAGTATGGAACATGGTGGGATTAGCAAAGTCTACCGGGGTCTTTGCTTCGAATGTAACTGTTTTTTTGACGGTTTCAGCCACCCCAGATCCCGGCGGTTGATATCTTGTCCCAGTGATCGTGATCTTGCCAGAGGCCGGGACAACAGCTTTACTAAGAGGATCTGTGCCGACGGGCTGTGGAAGTGGCATTCCTTGCGTTATTGCAGGGATAAAACCAATACCTAAACAAATAGATGTCGCGTCGAAGCTTTTGAAGCCGGGAGCCCCTTCATCGTTTAGGGCAATCCTGATACCGGTATCTTGGCCGCGGTCGAATGTGCCATCTTGAGTTTGTTGCGCGATGCGAGCGATAAAATGATTCGGTGAACAGGGCCTTAGCAGAGACGTTTCGAGAGAGCTGATGCTGGCGCCTCCTGACGGCACATCCTCCGCGGTGAGTACAGAGAAATCGCCCAGGTCGAATCCTTGAATGGGCTCAACGTTGAGTCTACCGGTGGTCTTGTCGACCTTAAATTGGTCGCCCTCAAACTAAAATTCAGACTTTGTCAGAGGTTATTCAATTGATAGGCTTAGAGTAATAATATGTCTTCTTTTTTAACTTACGTTGAGCAGAAAGTTCTGGCTTCGTACTTGCACTATGGAGGCGGATAAGAATAAAAAGATTTTCAGTATTCTATTTGGCACCATTTTACCAGTTCGGTTGGTGATTAGGATGTAATATAGTAATAGATTTCACTCTAAATTACAGAGATACTGGTGATAAAAGTGCAGTGATTCGAGTAGCTTGTAATCATCATTCTTTGGATTTATAGTCTCTTTTGAGGCTAGAGATATAGTGAAAACAATGTTGGCGCTTGTCAGAGGTAAAAATTTGAAGGACTTTGCAATTCAGTTTCTTCAAGTATTTCGGTGTAACTGTTTAGTCGGATGAGGGTCTAGATCAAGTCGAAATCGAACCTCGTCCGGTCTCACAGATTTCTGCAGATTCCGCTTTGGTAAATTTATAACAAATCCGGAGTTAGCCAAACGGATTTTTGGTTCCACCGAACGCCATTTAGATGTATTTGCCACGGGATGCAAACTAGGTCATTACACACGTCTTCCTTTATCTTCCTCGCTCTAGACCGCCAGCTCGGCTATATTATAAAGATATCAAGTGGTGTTATTCAGTTATTCGGACTTCTACCGTCCTACAGACCTACAAGCCTCTAAATAGGCAATTGTCGAATGTCTATTTCCTCTATTTGTATCTACTATTTGTACTATGTGTCACCAATTTAGAAGAAGTATGGACGTGTAACCTAACAGAACCAGAATTGAGACCTTAAGCTTAATACAAGACAGTCAATAGACTCAAAATTCTTCGTCGAAGTAGCGTCCTAGACCGTAGGTTAGGTACTTTCAGTAACAGGCCTCCAGCTCATAAATTTGAAATGCTTTATTCAAAACTCCAATACTGAAAT